AAACATGCAAATTGCAGCCAAGGACTCAGGAACATTCTAGTAAAGTAGCATAGGATGTGGCTATAAGTGTCTTTAAAAGATAGAGCCATTTCTTAATTTGATGTCTATGAATTTAAAAAGATATTTAATTCACAGAGGAGCCCTGATGGCACAGTGGTTAAAGTGCTCAGCCGCTAAGTGAAAGCTTGGTGGTTGAAACTCACCAGCCATTCCGTGGGAGAAAGATGTGGCAGTCTGCTTCTGTAAAGATTACAGCCTTGGAAACCGTATGGCGGCAGTTGTACTCTATAGGGTCGCTATGAGTCGGAATTGACTCGACGGAGTGGGTTTGGTTTGGATTTATTTCACATATGATTAACGCTTCTCCATATTCATACAGTTTCCAAAAAGAATGAGTAATTATATGGGACTCAAAATGGAAGAAAGAGTTTTGGTTTAGAATAAACTTCTTGGACATGAGAACATACATTGGCTTGAAAGAATAACTTTCTGTCTTCACATTCTGTTTCTAGCCTGGAAGAGTGGATTGTGGGACAGAGTGGGACAGATCTGGATGCCTAGCATTATTTGAAGGGGAACATGGTTATAGGAGAGAACCAGATTGCTGGATTGAGTTCACAACACCAGGATTCTGCTCTCAATTTTGATGTTGACTTTGTGTACATTCTCATTAACTTCAAAATGAACTCAGGCACTTTCACTTGTAATATATTCTGTAGTGTGCAAGGAAAATGGATAAGAATGTTGAAGACTTGAGTTAAAGAAAAAGAACAAAAAAATCTTTGTGATTATTTTTCAGTATGGAGAAATGAATAATATCATTATGCAATCTTAGAAAATAGTCTTTTTTACTAATATGAGCATTTTAAGCCTGAAGAATAAAACATTTGTTGATTTTTCCAAAGATACACATGCAACCAGAGAAGGACCAAGATATTCTATTGGCCTATGTACTGAACTGGTGTTTCGTAAATTGAGATTTGATTACAACTACAGGAAAAGGATTCAGATAGCCTATTTGATTGGAGTTACTGTTTGGATAGTGTGAGATTACTCTAATGATTCAAACAACAACAAAAACAAAACAACTAGGTGTTTCTTAGGTTAAAGGGCACATATACACCTAAAGTTCATGACATAAAAATAAGATGACTAAAATGTCATTAACTGGGGTCCCATTAATGTACAAATTTTGATAATTTGTACACATGGAGGGGGCCAAACAAGTTTTTACTGTCAGCAGACATTCTAAGGGTCCTTCCTTATCTAGTACAAGAAATGTGGAAAGGTCCAAAGGTTAGGCAAACCAGATCACAATGAGTCATGTGCTTGGAATCCCTATTCATAAATATTCATAATAAATATTTATAACATGCCAGCAAGGATACAGTCATTGTGAAAGAGACCATAAATGATATTAAAATAATTTTTCTATCCAGAGGATGTTTACCAATGTTTCAAAGATCTTTGAAACCGTAGCATGAAAGGAACAGCTTAAACACCTGGGGATATATGGCTAAGAAAAGACTCAGGGTTTACATGATGCAGCTTCTGAAGGGCTGTCTTGAGAAACAGGGTTTGTACCTCTACCAAGATCACAGCCAAGAAGATTAGCATGGAAGGCCACTAAAAACAAACAAACATATAAACAAAAATACTGCCTACCATCCAAGGCTATCCAAGGGTAGGTAATGCTCTGCCTGCCACTGGGGGGGAAGGTGAGTGGAGGATGAGTGGATGGGTGGCCAC